TTTCTTCTGGATCCTGAACTAAGACATCCATTGCCTTGTTGACTTGCTGTGCATTTATGCAACATCAAAGAAAGATGTGCTGGAGAAGCAGAAAAATTCACCTTAGAGGGAGGTTAGTTAGCACATAAGTATAGAGGATGAATAGTTGCTACTGTGAAATAGTTTGTGATTAACATGGTATAGAAACTAAGATTGAATTTCGCTTTCATAAATTCCTGGCAACTGAATTTTGAAAGTAAAAGTTTTATCATGGCAGAGGATGAATAGTTGCTACTGTGAAATAGCTTGCCATTAACTTGGAATAGAAACGAAGACTGAATTTTGCTTTCATTAATTACCGGCAACTGAATTTTGAAAGTAAAAGTTTATCATTGCTTTAGGGGGTGTTTGGATCTGATTCTCAAAACTGATTCTGCTCCTTCAGGGAGCAGAATCAGAAACTGGAGTGTTTGGCTGAAATTCCAGAAGCACTTCTGGTGCTCCAATTTACTCTTAGAATCAGTTTTTTTAGAAGTTGGTAGGTACCAGCTTCTGAAAACTGATTCTGATTCTGCTTCTACTTTATAAAAGAAGCAGAAGCAGAATCAGTTCCAAACACCCCCTTACTCTAGATTTAAGGAATCAGTGAATACGAATTTCCGTGTGTTATGAAGCTATAACGAAACTTACAGAAACACAGAAAATGGCAAAGTAAAACGATTAAAACCAAATCATATTACCTAATGTGAGTATACAATGTCAAATGAAAACAAAGACATCGTGGCAAGAGATATTTCATTGAGGAATTTTAACAAATATTTTTACAAAATATTTAATGACAATGAATGTCATTGTGGCAAACTTACAAACACATGGCCTAGGTGTTTGATGACCTAGCCTCACTTGACAAAATCAATTGACAATCAAACCTATTATGTATCGTGAAAGTATTGTCTGAAATTAGCCGAGCACAATTGATAATAATGCCTATTTCATATGGCAACAATGTTTTCTGAAATAGCTAAAACAAAGTATACAGTTCTAAGTGCTATCGTGAAGAATTAGAAGGCTGCCAATCACCTAATATCAGTATACCATGTTCTTAGTAATATCTAAGTCATATACACCTAGTGACATTGGAATTTAGTTTAAATCAGAGATGGATTACATGAATTAGAAGAACAATCATATTGCAACTCAGCTTAAAAAGACATGGTTTCCCTTCATACTAATGGAGAATGATAGTGCTTCTAATGACATATATGAAACAAAAGAAGGAATATTTCAGGAACCAAAGTTGATGATGATGTCCTTCCTGCCGGAACACGAACAAATCCTAAAGTGTGACAGAATTCAGATGAGAGGTACTGAAGTGAGATGATTTCCCATAGCGAGAGATAAAGTATTGAGATCAGCGGCCACTGAGTAAATTTGAGCGACGAAGAAGAATGGCTTCTGAGATTTTCAACTCGGATGGATTCCGATGAGAGAACTGTTGTTGAGGCCAATTTCATCCATCTAAAAGTCGGATGGTCTGCAGAGGTGTGACAATGTGCGGTGAGGGAGCCGGGGAAGAAGAAAGGAACTAAACGATGTTTTCATCATAGCGCGGTAGATCTAATTTGTATCGTGCGGTTGATGTGTGTTAGGCACATGAGCGGGAAAATGATATTCCATAAATTACTGCAATTACGTAGAATGATTTTTGGCCCGGATTTGGAATGCACCCTGCTCAGTACTTTGTCATCTCAGCTCCAATGCACAACCGCATTGGAGATGCTCTAAAGAGGTGTACGAAAAAAACCTTACATCGTCGGTACGTTCACATAAAATTTCTTCCCGATTATGTTAATTTTGGGAAAGTATATGATATACTTCGTATATACGATCATCATCTCATGTAATTATCTCCATTTTTCACAGAAATGGAACAGAAGTGTTAGGTGAAGAATATATGGGTCAAAGAGGATAAACAATTCATTTAATGCGATGACCACTTTGACAATCTATCAACAACATTATTTCTTTATTTGTTAATTAATTATCCTGGTTAGATAGTCAATCCACCTTATTGCAGCACAATTTAGGAAAGTGTATCTAAATGTCTAGATTTTTATTATGTCAGCAGTATTGACAATTTCACATATCACACACCTTCCATATCTATATGGAAAACATCGCTTCATAAAAAAATCCAAAACATCGCTTCATGAGTCATGATATACACTCAGTATCCTATTTCTACTTGGAAAATGCTAAGTATACACACCATGTACACAAGTTGTACATGGTATAAAAGCCAAAAAAAATCTCATTTCCTTATCTCTCTTCTCCCTCTCTCGGTTCTCTCTTCCTTCTCTCTTCTTCCTCTCCCCCTTCTCTCTTTCCTCTTTACCCAATCTCTTCTAAAATTCTCAACAACAAAAAAATTATCTTCTTCCATTTCCTCTTTCCTTCTTCATCCTCTTTTTCTCTACCTTTATTTATCAATTTTTTTTTTCATTATTTGCACAAAATCAACTTATTCATCTTATTTCATATATTATTATTATGTTTCTAATTTTATTCAAATTAATGTAAATTGATTACACATACAACTACATCCTTCATTTGGATGTATATAGAAAATTGAGTTTTTTGTTCACCCGGAAAATTAAAATTGATCACACAGACAACTAAAGTTGATCACACAGACAACTATTGTCTGTGGAACGCACAACTATTGTATGTGATGTAAAAGTTGTTTGTGCACACAGACACTGCACATATATTGATTGATTTGCAACCTGTTGTCAGTGTCAGGCGGCTGTCAGCGTACTTTTTACAAAAAAGTAAATGTCTGTGGACACAGACAAAAGTTGTTTGTGTACACAGACAACTCTTGTCTGTGACCACAAACAATTCCGTACCAATTGTCTGTGACCGACATTTTGTGTACAAGTTGTGTACAACTTGTGTACCCCTAGCATGGTTGACAACATGAATCAATAAGAATATTATAATGTACTAACTTAAATATAAATAAACAACGAAATAATGATTGGTTTGGACCATGGATCTAAAAACCGGGCTAGGCGGTGACTGGGCGCCCCGACTTTGGTGTAATCGGTCTAAAAAATCGGTCGGACGCCTAGGCGGGCTAGGCGGCCGACTAGGCGGCTAGGCGGGTGCCTGGACGGGCTAGGTGGTGGCTAGGCGGTCTGGATTAAATTTTTTCCCGACCCAACTTTTTTTCCCCGTTTTGACTTAAAACAACGTTTGATCAATAAGTATTCTATTCCTATATAATTTAGTTTCATATTACTATGATAAAAAAATAATCTTGAAATATTTAACAAAAATTACAATGTATGTGCATTTTTAGAGACTAAAAAAATATAAATCTATACATTTATCTATTAATTATTTTATTATTTATAATTTTTCTACAAAAACCATAATATCTAATGATTATATGAGTTATTCCTATTGTCAAAATATTATAAAATTATTGATAATATATTTAAAATTCAATGATAATAAAAATAAAACAAAGATATAAAGGAAAACACCTAGGCGCCCTAGTCGGCGCCTAGGCGCCCGCCTAGGCGGGCTAGGCGCTAGGCGGCAGTCACCGCCCGACTAGCGCCTAGCGCCTTTTAGAACACTGGTTTGGACCAATCAAATGCTTGATAGACATGTACCTTTGGTTACTCATCATTCACTTTATTTTTTATAGGGAAAAAGGTCATATAGGCCCTCAAACTTATATAAAAAAAGTCAAATAAGCCCTTATATAGGAGGCTCTGTCCGGCCATCACCATATGGGGCGGTTCCCGGTAGAATTTTTTGATAAGTTTTTTTGAACATCTTATTCATTAAGTTTGATGGTCTATCTGGCACTTTTCCCTTTTTTATATGCTCATTTTTTATGGTTACTACATCATTCACCTCATTTTTCTGGGGCTTTGAGGGGAGTCAGAAATTAAGTGTCACCGTTTTTTTCTATAAAAATTGACCTAAATAGGACTATATTGTTCCTGAAATTCCCAAATGGGACTATATATTTTTTTTATTCCCCAATTAGGATCAAATTACTCATTTATCCTTACTTTTCTTCCTCCTTAATTTCCCTACGCAACACCCTAGATAGATCAATCGTTCTTCTACTGCGCAGCCCATCATCCCCACCCCCTCCCCTGCACATCACCCCTTCCCCTGCAAATCTTCCTATCTCCTTCGCACATGAACAACGAACTAGAAACCATAGCCATATCTGCCACCACGAAGCCCGCTGCCGCCGCTGCCACGAAGTCCGCCATTACCGCTGCCGGAGATCGAGTTTTCTTCCCCATAGATCATATTCTCTTATCTAACTGGTATCCCCGTCGTTTCTCCTCTTCTTCTCTATTTCTCTCTCCCCATGCTTCGTTTCTTCTTTGGTTGTTACAAAATGTCAAGTTAAACTCTGAAATGCCATTAAAATGGCATTTTTAGTTCTAAAAATGTTGTATTTTCCTTTGAGAATGCCATTAAAATGGCATTCTGATAAAAACCTTGGCATTCACGTCGGCAACAACCAGATCTGCAACTGAGGAGGTCGGAGTTGCAGGGGCAGGTGTCGGCTGTGGCTCGATCTGCGGGGGCAGCGGCCGACGGACGACGGAGGCCAGGATAGATATGGCCAAATCTCTGCTGAAACCTACCAGATCTGCATCAGCGACGACCTTATCTGCATTGGCGACAGCCTGATCTGCAACAACGGCCAATTTTTGAGGCAACGACGGCGGCGACGACCGGCGACCCGTTGGTCCACTGTTTTGGTCAAGAGCTTTATGACTTCCAAGCAAGGGTGTTTTTGTCCAATTTTAAATAATAACTCCTATTTAGGGAATTTGTACACTTTAGTCCTATTTTGACAATTAAAGATTGATTTATTCTTATTTAGCTAAATATCACTCTTTTCTAAAACTCGTCAATATATAAATAAGAAAGATTATGAGAAGTTGATACCTATTTTTAAATAAGCAAGATTATGAGAAGTTGATGCCTATTTTTTTGCATATTGGTCAATTTCAGTATATGCAGTATTGTGTGATTTGTGTCACACACTCGCACCATCATAACTTTGGTACTCATATTTGAATTTTTGCATTTCGTATTTTTTAGTTAAGAGGTGAAGATAATGAAGAATCCATCCATCAAAAACATTGAAGATAAAAGGAAAAGTATGTATGCAATTGGTTGCTTATACTACGTATTTATTTATTACGAGTATTATAATTTGGCATATTTCTTGAGATTCGCAGCAGCGTCTCTGGCGTGTTCCGGTACATGCATGTTCGCCAACAGAGTCACTCTGGCCGACGATATCAGAACTCTCTTCTCTTCTCCGGCGGCCTTCCAAATATCCACTCCCCATACCTGAATAGTCCTCCCGACGTTCACGGGCGTCGCCTCGGCGAGAAGGACATCGCCGAGGCGGGCAGGCTTGAGGTGGTGGATGCTGAGGTGAACTCCGGCGACTCTCCTGAACCCGGACGCCATGTGCGCTCCGATGCTGGCCAGCGCCTCCGCTATGAGCGCGGAAACCCCGCCGTGCAGCACCTTGAAAGGCTGGCAGCATTTGGGGGTGACCTGCAGCCGCCCGGTGACTTTCTCCGGGGAGAGGTCGCCGATCTCGAAGCCGATGGTGTGGAGTGGTGCATCCAGTGATTCCTCCTTTGACGGTGATGATTCGGCCATTTCGGCGGAGAATCGCGGAATCCCGTTTCCTGATTTTGTGGAAGGCGATGTGATTGAGGCAGGGGAGGGGTCAGAGAGATTGGGCGAGGGAAGGGTCTAAAATAGGGTCGGTGAAATTTGAACGAAAAGGTGGGCTTTGTTGGTGGATTAATTGCTTTTGGTTGTGTGACACTTCTTTAGGAAGGTTCGTGGCTGACTATGAAGTTAATACTTGTACAGTTCTATTCCTATAAGTGGTATGGCGTCATGGCTCACCTCTAGGGTAATCGTCACATATACTACGTATGACAGGAATTTTTACTCACCGCACACAGTGCTGTTATTCGAGCCGAGCCGAGCCCGAGTATCACAAATTCGAACTCGACTCGCACATTTTTTGAGCCTGGCTCGAGCTCGGCTCATTAAAATTCGATTCTGTATTTGAGCTCGAACTCGGCTCGTTAAACCTATTTACAGCTCGAGCTCGACTCGTTAATATACCCGAGTCGAGTTACTCGAGCTCGATAACTCGAACTCGAAAACTCACTTATTAATTACAAGTCTACAAAATATGTTCAGCCAACACTAATGGGCCTAACAGGGGTGGATCATAGTTAGGGCAGGGGTGGGCTTCAGCCCAGCCCAATTATTTTTATTTTTATTAGTATAGGTATAGCTTTAATTATCAGCCCATCCCAAAATTATGTCCAGCCCACTCCAATCTAAGCCTACCAGATCTGCGGCTTTCCATATGCGGCCGAACTGCGAGCAATTTTTGAAGAGATGAAGACACGCGTTCAGCTCTGAGCTCTCCTATCCGAATCGAGCAATTGGCAAATTTGATTCTGATGCCTCCACTCTCTGGATCCAGCCTCGAGGTGAGAAGGTACTACTTCGTAATAGTTTATTACACTCTTAGAGCATCTCCAATGCTAAAACGTTAACGATGCATACGTGACATGAAAAATAATCAATTAAAAAACAGTAAATAGAATATCTCTCTCCTTATTTAAAGGATCTTATGTCATTTTGGTAAGTTTATCTTCACAATGTCAAAACAATGTCTAGATATTGACACTGTGATTAACATTGCAGAAAAAAACTTACCAAAAACATATAAGACCGTGGAAGAATGAGAGAGAAATGTCATAATATCAATATTTTGTGTCTATGTCTCTCATGCCACATGTGCACCGTGCACATTGTAGCATTGGAGATGCTCTTAGACTTTAATGTTTTAATTTATTGTTTTGTGACTGTTATTTATTGTGTATTATTTCCAAAAGTGGATCGACAAAGTGTTGAAGGGAGTTAATTAACGTGTACAATTTAAGACGAGAGAATGATTTATTTATTGTTTGGACATGGAAGAAACAATTAAAAATCTCAACTCACTTTTGAAAGTGAGAATACTTAGTAGTTTTATGTACAATGATAGTTTATACTTATTAGTTTTATGCTTTAATAGAAGTATTTTAATTCTTACCAATAAATACTAGAATCTTCAATAACCATTATTAAATTTATAAAATCGCACTACGAACATTTTAATTTTAAAATATATATAATTTATTCCTATAATTTATGAGTTATCGATAGCCTCGAGTTCGATCGAACCGAACATCACTATGCTCAAATTTGGCTTGAATAACTATTCGATCTCAAAATCTAGCCCATGTCTGATTTCGAAGCTCGTTAAGCTCGGGTCATTAAATTAAGTTTGAAATCACATTCGAACTCGAGTAGTTTGAAAACAACTCGATTGGATAACAACCCTAAGCAACAACAAATTTTTTACTGTTTAGCCCACCCCACTCCTCATTCCTAGATCCGCCCCTGGGGCCTTAATGGCTAAACCTAATATGTGATAGAATCATAGAATGACAATTTTACCCATCTCACGAGCCTTGTCACGGGCTTTATCGGTTTTTTTGAGTCGAGCCGGCTCGGCTCATTAATCTTATCGAGTAAAACAATGAGTTTGAGCTCGACTCGATTCCTGAAATAAACGCGTCGAGTCTGAGCTTTACCGAGTCGAATCGAGCCGAATTCGAGCCGAGCTCGATTTCCATAAGAGCACTAACCGCACATGGAGTTATCAGTAGATCCGGGCCGATTCGGCCGCGACTCGGTCCTAGGGGAATAGTGTGAAGTCCCATACGAGTCCGCTGAAATCCCGTTCCCGACTAGGTCCTGACCTGGTCTGATCCGCCTTGCCATTTTTCAAAAAATTTATTAAGAATAATGTTAAAATGTAAAAAAGATTATTTGAGTGCATAGCATTTGAATAATTAATTCTTCCAAAAACACATTTGAATAATTAACACTTAAAAAATTATAATTCTAAGCTTACAAAACGAAAGACGTACAATAAAATCCCAATTTCAAACTATTATAAATCTAAAAACATTGAATTTGTACAAATATTACAATAGTAGGCATGATGGCCTGATGTGGTTATGGGACTAGATCGAGAGAGCCTAATTTGTCTAGACCCCATATTTGGACTCGCGTGTTCTTGCCCACAATCTAGACCAGCGGGCCCAAGCACAAGTCCATGTTTCACCAATAGGCCCGTTAATGGATCGGGTCTAGACCCATACTCTACCTGAATCCGCCTTTGATGAAGCGAGTCCAACAAGATTGAAGTCCAAGATGATCTACCTACCTGGTTGGGTGTCTGTCTGCTAATCCAACCGGGATCCTGTTTGTCAATCCAATCGAGAGTTTGCCTACTAGCCCTCCCAGAATCGAGCATATCAGCCCAAAAAGAGAGCCCGCCTACCAACCCAGACAAGAGTCCACCAGGTTTCAAGCTCAACGAAGAGCCTATTTGTCAGTCCAGTCAAGAGTTTGCATACCACCCATATGAGAGCCTGCCTACAAGTCGAGTAGGGACAATGGAGCCATCCATTAGTCTGGCACGGAGGGAGCTACCTCCGGTTTAAGTATGACCCCAAATAAATCTGATTTTAATATCATATTAATGATATTAATATCGAAAGAGCTATGGCCGGGAACAATCAATCCGCTAATCATACGGATCACATATTTCTTGCCAAAAAAGAAACATGAAATTCATTTTGGGACAACTTAAAAAAAGAAAATAAGATAACCAAAATAGGACATAGGAAGTAATTAATTAGCCATTTTTGTTACCTTTTGTAAACGCCTATGAAAGGCAATTGTATTTCAAATGACATGATACACTAGTTTTGGCAACTAAATCCTTTCGCAATTTTAATTTTCGTACTTTCATTTTTCTACTTGAGTGTTTTGAAGTAACTTTCCGAAAAAGCCTAAGAGCGTCCATTTTTGGACCAACATTGATGTTTTCATTGATAGATTTTGTTGTCTTTCACATCATTTTAGTAGGAATTACCCAAGAAGATGGTTGGAATGTCCCCACGACGTGACCATGTCTTTATCCTAACCGTCCATACCGAGCAATCGAGTCGTACTGACTAACAACGTGCCCTCAACAACCAACATAGATGAGTGCATCATTCTCCGATGACAAATCAAAGCATATATCCAGCAGGGGTATTTGGGTCAGTTCATTAGCAAGTGGGGAACCACCTAACATAAGAAGAGCCTAACATGACACTGCTCTAACAAAGCCACCACTTTGAAAGAGAAATAATCTGCCAAGAAGCGGGGAGCTCAATGCCCTCGATGATGAATAATCCAACCTGGAGAGGGCACCAGACACGCTATAGATGTTCATACATCTCTGGAGGGGCTCGGGGAGGTGAAACAGCTAGAGTGTGAAAACAATACATCAGCGAGATAACTAAGGCTCCAATCGGCAAAAAAATGAGGAAGGACCCTATCTTCTTCAACAATATATATCATCTTCCACCAGGTCCTAGTGGACAACGGTAGCTCGGTGAACTTAATGTATTACTGCACCTTCCAGGGTCTTGGCTTAGACAAAACGAACTTGGTCTTGGTAAGGATCCCACTCTAAAGCTTGACTTGGGACTCTATTGAGTATGTGAACATCTTAGTACTCTTACTGATGGTGGGATCCGAGCCTTTCACATCCAAGTTAAATGTCGAGTTCATTTTCATTCGCCTAACTTGTGCGCATGAAATTATCATGGGTGGACCAACCTTAGAAGATCTTATGTCCCCAGGGGAATTTATGCATGGAGTTCCCTACTCAAAATGAGGCCGGGGTGGCTCGGGGAGATCAGGGGATGGCTATGAGCGGCTACCTGAAGTCTTGCAAAAAAACTAAACCATAAGGACTTGAAGGTCCACACGGTCAATGAAAAGGCAGTAAAGTACAAGAAAGATCAGCTCTACGTTGAAACCACATAGGAAGGCAGGAAGGAAATCTCTCCATCAAAAGGGGAAGGTTGTGATTGATGGTCTTAGGGCATACAAGCTGGGATTACGACTTTAACGTGGTCAACCCACATTATGAAAATCTTATTACTTTCTAAACGAAATTTTGTAATCAAAGGAGGTCCAACCTCACTTGGTAATGAAGGTTGGCCGAAAAAAAGGGAAAAAAATCACTATGCCCCCTCAGTGGTTGGCCAATTTCAACATGGCCCTTGAACAGAAAATATTCATGTGATTTTTCCAAACCCAAGTGATTTTCTAAGTATAGAGCTAGCCGCAACAATAGGGCCAACCTCTGGGTCGCGAGTGCTCAGATACCGACCTCCTGGTCCTTCCGATCACTCAATGTCCGACACTGGTGGCCAAGAAGCTTGCACTCTAGCCGACCCTAGGTTGGCGGTGCGGTTCCATTGTGGTTCATCGTGTGGGGTCTGCCCCTGTTATTTGGTCGACCTCATGGAAACAATCAAATTATGCTCTAAGTATGGGGACATACCGAACGGGTCAAGACGATACTAATACTAACCCCCAGGTCATGGGCATTCAGGGTGGTGAGCTAAGGGCCTGTCTCATACGTTCGGTGTCTGACCACGCTGGACGAACAAGTCGCACACTCGCTAATTTCATATTAGCAACGAACAAACTCACCGATTTCATATTCTGTCTGATCGGGAGGAGCACAAACAGACTCGTGTATGGTTGTCTACCACCCTTGTTAGATGGTTAGAGAAACTGGACCAATGAATAAGTTGCTCGAGTATTCGTCATGTAAACTCTAAAAAAACAAGTGAATTC